TTCCCTTGCTGCTCTGCCCAGCTGTTCAGTCAAACCATGATTTCCTTCCTTTCTCTCAACCTATCACACTGTCTGAGAGAACCAAGTTCCCTAAGAGAACCATTCCAGTTTGCACTGCGCCAACTCCATGCAGCCAGTTTTCTGTCAGGACCGCCGGGAGGATGGCCCCCTCTGAGTTCAATCCCTAAATCTCTCCCCTCCCCCAACTCTTCATTTCCTACCCCCCCCCACCCCCAAGTTGCTCATCCCCCAAACCATTTCTATTTGATTAAGGAGATGGCCTCGGCAAGGATGTTTACATTAGGCTCACTTCCAGGCCATAACCCATCCTGCGGGAACACATTCCTGGTCGGGGTAGTGGAAGGAACTACGCCAAACATCTCGGCCTCGCTGTGTTCCCCAACTCCAGCCTTGGAGAACTCCATCGACCTCCAGGTCTCTCCAACAGTTAAGGGGCAACAGGGCATGGCAGACAGAGCCCGGCTGCAAGAATCTGAGATGTGAGGAAAAGGCGCAGACATTTGTAGTCGAGCCAAAGACCTGACTAAGCCAAAGATGTCACACCTCAAGGCACAATGACCCAACCTCACTCACCACAGACCAGCTATTATTTCTGGGGAACCAGCATTTTCTAGAAGAGCAATGAAGCCAGATAGTGCTAGGACAAAATTCCTGAGACAACTGCCACATTCAGATGGAGAGCTACTGAAAGACCAAAGTGAAGTCCACTAGAAGAATAGACATCTGGAGGATGGGGCATACCCCATGCTCCTCTCCTCCTTCCACCTGACTGCCCCCAAAGCCTCCGCTCCTGCAGTGCCAGGTCTCAGCTCCATTAGGCCTGTTACAGATTAGGACACAAATCAGCCCCGTCCCCACTCCAAAAAAGCCCTACTAGGGAAGCACACACAGGAGGTAGGCAGAGTGGCAATTTGGTGAAGCCAGGTCCGGCTGGGTACCCTTACCTGCCCATCAACACTGAGGCCAGCCTGTCCCAATAGCCACAAAGAAAATCCAAGAAGGCATTAAGAGGTCAGGCCAAGCAATCAGGAAAACCTGTACTTGATTTCCAGCTACCGAACTTAAAAGCATGAGCTAAACATCTAACCTCTTTGAACTTCTCTGTAAAGCTGAAATTTCTCATCTGTAATGCAAGGATGCCAGGGGCCTGTTGCAGGGACTGAAAGGGGCTGTGTGTACCATCGCCACATTCAGAGGCTGGCAGACGGTAGGTATTCAACCCAGGCAGCGACCCCCATCAAGCCTCGTCAGCCCGGACTGGAAATTTCTTAATAGCAGAAGTGTCTTCTAGAGAGTTGAACAGGGAAGGGGAAGGTGGACGGGGGAAGAAGGGAGTGAGCTCAAAGTTTCACCAGTGTTAACAGAACTCCTTCCAGAACAAGAAGACAGACAGTAATTACTAAGGAGACCCACAAATAAGCCCATGGCCATGAATTTCACTCTAAAAATCAGATACTCTGACTACTGCTGCAGTAATAGAAGCTGGCTCATGGATTCGCACTGAGCTTTTTAGAAAAGGAAAAAGACCTGAAAAGGGATTCTCCAGATGCTGGAGATGATAGGTGTTCTAGCTCCTGAGCTTCAAGACTCAGGAGCAGCTTTCTAATGGCTGGAAATATTCTGCACACTCAGCTGCTCTCTGCACCCTCTTTTGTCAGGGCCTGGGGTCTCAGAGCTCATGCAGGCACCAAAAGACCATCTGGGGCTGCCGTCTTACACACAGAAGTTTAAATAGCTCAATGAATGAACCCAGGAATTAATGAATGATAAAGCCGTATGGTCTCCTCATCCTTTCCTCTCACAAGCAGCATTCAAACCCTCCCAGCATCTTTACAATGCTTCCTAAGTACAAACTAATAATAATAATGGCAATCATAATCATAATAAAGCTGGGAGGAGAGGAGGTGAAAATGGCATCCCACTATAAGGAACACAGGCTTTAAAAAGAAAATCCCAAATTGCCACTGTATTTTCTGTTCACTCCACACTAATTTGAAAATCTCTCTCCTCAAATAAAACAGAAAACCAAAAAATGTAGACTGCACACCATCTCCAATCCAAGCTCCACTCTTCTGAGCCCAGCTCTGTTCCTCTTTGAAAATTATTCATCACCAAGGTCATTTTTACCAACATATTATAGAATCAGACGCATATTATGCATCTCCTCCCAAGATGCATATATATCTCCATATCACACATTGAGAAAAAGTCAATGTTTCGCACCCACCCTGGGAAAAGAAAATAATCTTTTAGTCGCTTCTCACAGCAACACAATAGTTCTTCGGGGGTGGAAATTTTAGCACAGTAATCACTTTGGTAGGCTCAGAAATCATGGTTTTTGGAGAAGAAACACCAAGGGAGAAAAGATCCCTTTGAAAAGTGACCTGCACAGAGAACCCCTTGGCGGAGCTGTTGGATTTGTTCACTCTAAACAATCAAGCATGTCATCACCGGGAGGACAGAACACAAGAACACGGGGTTAATCTGAGACTTGACGGAGTGCAGTCAGATCTAAATGCAAAGTGTTTTATAATGCACATTACAAGGTCTGTAAAGTTCTTCTCTGGACATCATCAGAAACAAAACACAAGCAGGTTTCAAGGCAGGTGAGGCTTATATCTCCCGTGCGTCTGGGAAGTGGATCTCATTCTGGCTATGACCCTTGTTGACAGCATGACCTTGGGCAAGTCACTGATCCCTCTGTGATTCCATTCCCTTATCTCACCTAGAAAATCAGAGTGATCACCAGGGCCCTGGCGCCTCGTGGCTGGGATCACTCTAGCAGGTTCCAGAGCTGTCTTTCTCAGGGGCATCTATATGTATGTGCATTTATCTCCATCTGTATCCTGCCCCTTCCCAAGTTCAACTGTTGAAAATAAAACTCGTCAAAACTTCTGTGTTTTCAAACATAAAAAGCCCATCTAGCAGGGACTGGGCTATGGGGGCTGGTGTGAAGGAAAAAGTCTGGGATCAGGGGAACTTCCATTACAAAATAAGAAAGACCAATGCCATGGGGAAGCCACAACATTTTGGAAGCAGGATAAAAAAGAATGAGAAAGAGCCAGATTTCTTTTCCATCAGAAAAGAGAAGATGGGACAGGCATGGTGGCTCATGCCTGTAACCCCGGCACTTTGGGAGGCTGAGGTGGGAGGATCACGTGAGGTCAGGAGTTTAAGATCAGCCTGGCCAACATGGTGAATACCCAACTCTCCTAAAAAAAAATTAAACATTAGCCAGGTGTGGTGGCGCACGCCTATAGTCCCAGCTACTCGGGAGGCTGAGGCAGGAGAATCGCTTAAACCTCGGAGGTAGAAACTGCAGTGAGCCAAGATCGTGCCACTGCACTCAAGCCTAGGTGACAGAGCAAGACTCTGTCTCAAAAAAAAAAGAGAGAGAGAGAGAAGATGGTGAAATCATAGACCAATGTATACAAGTTTCTTCTAATGAAATTATTCGAAAGAAACCAGAGCTAAATGTTGGGGTTTTATTTTCTTTTTAATTTTCCCATGTAATCCATCATAATGATGCTTCTTAAAAGGCAGCAATGGGAGTAGGAGCCACAGTGACCCCCTAAAGAGGGTAAATATAGGCATGAAACAGGCCAAGGGGGAAGGGAAGAGTAGTCTCTTTCTTACAGAAGCTACAGAACACTTGAGAAAGGCCCGCAGCTGTCACGCTGCTGTACTTGGTTGGTGGAAAGGGGAGGAAAGAGGCAACATCCAGACCAGTGTTTTCCTCATAACAACCCTCTACTATGAAAGGTTAATACAGGCTGGAGGGGAGGGGGTGAACGCAGGGGAGAGGGAGGAGGTAGAAAAGCATTATGCAATATTAGAATGCTACTTTTATTTTAAAAGCCATCATGTGTAAAGCATTAGTGTTTTTGAAATTGCATTCTTGAGTTAATTAAATGGACAATCTTTTATACATAAAAGTGAAAGAAAGCAATTAAAAGCTAAATGAAGAAAAACCACTTTCCCCTGGTGATCTGGGCTACCCCAATCCCTCTGTATTAACATGAAGCAAAGACAAGGATCTCCCCAGAACTACTGTCCAAATGTCTCTTCTATGGTACCCTCGGTGACAGTTTGAGAAGTATTTGTCTTCCTTCTAAGTTTACCTATGAGACTGTTAGGATAAGAGGAGGAGAAGAAAACAGAAGGGTGATGGAGGATCAGGGGAAAAAGTTCACTTAAGCAGTTTACAAACAAACAAGGGAACTCATGGAGGGGACAGATCTCTGTCTCAAATGAAACTAAAATCAATACCTTAACTCTTTTTTGTTACCTCCACCAAAAAGCAGCCCCAACCAGTATGTCACTAAAGAGAATTGGGCTGGGCGCTGTGGCTCATGCCTGCAATCCCAGCAACTTGGGATGCCAAGGCTAGTGGATCACCTGAGATCAGGAGTTTGAGACCAGCCTAGCCAACACGGCGAAACCTCGTCTCTACTAAAAATACAAAAATTAGCTGGGCATGGTGGCGATGCCTGTAGTCCCAGGTACTTGGGAGGCTGAGGCAGGAGAATTGCTTGGACCCAGGAGGTGGAGGTTGCAGTGAGCCGAGATCATGCCGCTGCACTCCAGCCTGGGTGACAGAGCGAGACTCCACATCTCAAAGAAAAAAAAAGAGAGAGAGACAAAATTAATTCAGAGTTTTGGGCTGTCGAGCCAGCCTCCACTCATGGACTTTTTCAAAGAATCAGAGAAGTATATTCAGATTACAGCAAGAAAAACTAGGTTAGTTATCGAGAGGAACTTCCTCAATGTACCACTATGTCTACCTAACAAGTGCCAAATCACCAACTGGTCTATTGTTTTGCAAATGTGTCTTCTACAGGCGATGGGTGGCAAGTGGGTAAGTAGCTGTCCTGCTCTGCAAAATGGGTCAGGAAAAGGCAAGTCCCACGGCCTGTGTGATAACAACAGTAATGACACACTCCCTTTCCAATGCCCCAGTGGACTTAATCTTTACTCACCATGGTTGCAATGACTCTGGTGCTCCTACAAGAACATCTAGATGACAAGAGACACCACTTCTCTCTTTGGTACCAGAAAGAAGAAAAGCAAGAATTGGTCTATGTCCATTCAACAACAGTTTTCCAGTGGAACATGATGCAGAAGTTACAATGATGTTTCCTATTTCACAGGCTGAGTCCTGTGGTGAGTTGTTCCCAGGACCCAGGCCTCTGGGTTCCCAGGCCACTGAATCTCCTATCTCTCAGCTTCCTGCAGGTCCATCCCTTCACTGAATCGGACAGTCATCCAAGAGAGATTTTGGAAAACACACAGCAAACCACAGCAAAACAACACTGATCCACTCTTTCCTAAAGGCTCCAGTGCTGACTGCTGGCTGCTCGGGGGTACTTTCCTTTCCCTTCCTGCCATGAAAGAAGGAGGTAGGTGAAAGAAAAGGCAAAGCAGAGATAGCCTGATCCAGGAAGAGTAAGAAATGTTTAGATCTTGGGTGCTGGGAGTGAAGACTGATGTATTCCTCCAGCTAACTCTGTCTTTCCCCAGTAGCAGGCAATGTCTGCAGGCTCGCACATGCTTGGTGTTTACTTGCAGTTATGGTAAACCACTCCCTATGCTACTTCTATCGTTTCTGCCTTCAAAGTAGCAATGACCATGAGACTGAAGAGAAGAACATGGTTAGGTCCCAGTTTTCTACACATGTTCAGCCTGGGATAAAACAGAAAATCTAAAACTCTGCATAATCCAAATGCACCATTGTAGAAAAGAGCCTCGTGTTGCCAGACAGGTGCCTAATTTGGTTTCTACTCCCTTCCCTACTCGCCTTTGGCAAATGAGCTCAAACTGGGCACCTTGGCCAAAACGCTCGTCTGCGAGGAAGGAGGGAGGATGAAAAGAGAGAAGAAACTGATGTGGATAACCCACAAATTCATTCAGCCCACACGTGAAAAAGAATAGTTTGTTAGATTTCTCTTCTATTCGCTGGGCTCCAAACCCACACGCTAGGGTCAGGGAGGGGTGTGCAGTGCGCCACTGATGCCACCACAAGCCCCCACACTTCTGTTTGAAATAGAAGGCCCAACATTGTTTGCTCCAGCCAAGCCTCCCTCTGCTCTGTGGCTGAGTTCATGAAAGGAATCCAGGATGGGTTAAACGTTACCTCTATCTCCACCCCGCATCTTCTAAAGCATCTGATAAGTGCTAGAGAAAACATCCTGTGTGCAGAGGTTTAGATGCTGACACAGGGTGGGGGAGCACCAACGACCCAGGGGCCACAAGGAGTTAATCCCCCGAGAGATAGGGGCCTACTCTTTGGAAAGTTCAGAGAAAGCGAAGAGAAGAAAGATTCCACCGGCTGTTACATGTGGTTACCAAAACACAAAACACAAATGTAGGTAGAGACTCTGTAGCCCCAAATTAAGAAAACCACCACCAAAACTTCTTTAGTCCAAGCAGACGGTACACACAAAAAAGGAAAAGAAAAAGGTTTTAAGCAGAGCGTTCAGCCAACTGCTAATTCTGGGGCAGTCCCCTCCCTCTGCACATGACCCATGACAGAGTTAAACTGTGCTTTGGTCTCAGACTGGGGGGTGGTGGGGGGTCTACTTTCTGAATTCCAGGTCACCATCTATCTTAATTCCCTCTCTGCACACTCCACACTTGTCTCTCCCACTTATAACATAGGCCTGGCCTAAAGGCAGGAGAATGTTTTCAATGGCCTCAAGGCTCCCTCAGCCCTTACAGTTGTACCTCAATAATCAGTGTTGTGGTTCACAGCAGCAACAATTATCAATGCAATGAAGTGCCACTGACAGACCTCCAGTTTCAGCATCACTGATACAGTAATGTTTGCCTTCAAATAAGGTTCTTTTAATGTTCCCAGCAGCTGAGAGGAGCAAGACATAATGGTTTGGAAGGGTACCCACATTTGATTAGATGGGTTAATATGGGCACACAGAAAGAGCTTTAGCTGGCTCTATTGTCCCTCCCCAATGTGTGGGTGGCACTGGGGGCTACTATGAATGTTGGCGAGCATCAAAGACTTCAAGCCCAAGAAGGGAGCCACACAAAAAGCTCTAGGATTGGCCTTTTTTTCTGGAATAGCTCTAGGCTCTCCTGCCTATAAAATTCTCTAGGCACCCAATAAATAATTAAATGACTGTTCAGCTCTTACTAAACCACACCTCAGGATTACAGGACCAACTCCTGGGCTATCAGCAAAAGCACCCCTCTTACTACATATGCTAAAATCATCCCAGAAACACAGGCCCATGAATTTCCCAACAGATTCACTTCTCAGAAAATGAGGAAGGGCAGGGGCAGCCCGGGGGGACTTACCTGGAAGAAAAAAAAATCTGAACAACTGATTCTACCTTCTCCCTCTAACCACTGTTACCACTGCTGTGATGAATGAGAAGGGTAATGATGAATGACAAACCTTTCTCCTGAAAACCCCAGAGTAAAAAAAAAATTCACCAAGGATCCAGAAGATGGTCTATGCATAAAAATACAAGGGCATGTTAGGAATAGCAGTTCTGCAGCCTCAACCCCCAGTGAGATGTAAACCCAAACTTGGCTGCCAGCAACCCACTAGCACCACAGAGCCACGATAAGAAAGCCTTCCTAAAGCATTTGGTTAAGGATTTTTTTTTTTCCTCGAAAGGCAAATAGCAACTGAGAACAAGTCTCCAGGGCAAAGCAGCTGAGACCCATGTTTTGGAGCTCTGGGAATGAGGACGTCCCAACCATCATTGGTGTGTTCACTGCCACCCCTGGCATGCTCAGACCAGACCCACACCAACAGAAAGAGGTCCTCACTGCAGGAGCCAAAAGGCAAGGGAAAACGTGACCATCCCAGAGACATCTATTCCCTAGAGCCACATCCAATTTCATAAAGAAATTAAAAGCCACTGATAAAACCTTACCTGCCCCTCCCCATCTGAGATACCCACCAGTTTCTTTATCACCACCGTAACATATACAAAAATAAGCAACAAATAGATGAATGTATCTCCCTTCGTGCAATGACATGAAAAATGCAAAGAAATAAAATCAGGCCTTCTGCTCTCAAGAAGAAAATGGAGGATAAGGGAACTTACATTTACTGGGCACTCCAATAATAGCCAGGAGCTCTACGTGTATTTTTTCATTTGATCTTTGCAAGAACCTTCCAAGTTAGGCAATATCGTCCCCAATTCACGGGAGAGAAAACTGAGTCTCAGAATGTTTATGGGGCTAAGGACACAAAATTTTAAAAGTGGCCAAGCTCTCAATCTAGGCCTGTCTTGATCCAAAATTAGGGATCTTTCTACCAAATCACACCATGTTGCTCTCTTCAGTCACTCAGTTTATATCAAACCCTTCAAAAAAACCTGGTTAAATACACGAACCAATCAGTCTTGGAAAATTTTACATACTTCTATGGCCCCAAAGCAACTCGATGATAGAGAATGCAGGAAAGACTGGATCATAAATGAGTGGGTATTCTAAATTCCTTTATGGGTAACTATCCCAAACAAACAAACAAACCCCAAACAAGGCCAGGCGCTGTGGCTCACACCTGTAATCCCAGCAGTTTGAGAGGACAAGCTGGGAAGATTGAGCCCAGGAGCTCAAGATCAGCCTGGGCAATGCAGTGAAACCTCATCTCTACAACAAATTTAAAAATTAGCAGGATGTGGCGGCACACACCTGTAATCCCAGCTACTTGGGAGGCTAATGTGGGAGAACTGCTTGAGCCTGGGAGGGCAAGCAAGGTTGCAGTGAGCCAAGATTATGCCACTGCACTCCAGCCTGGGCAACAGAGTAAGACCCTGTCTCAAAACAAACAAACAAACAAACCAGCTTGCAACGTTCCTGGCCATGAACCGCCCTGGGGACCCCCAAGATGCTGGCTCCCATGAGTATCTCCTCATTAAAAACCACTCTAGGGTTACTCACCATGCTAGGGGCTGTCTGGATTCCTAAGTCAGCATTAAGTATTGCGAAAGCTGTAGCTCGCTGATCTTTAGAAGACAGGATTCTGACAGTCACTGCCTCACTCTGCTGTAAGTTTGTAAGTATCCCGGTCTTTAAAAAGGTTAATAATTCCATAAAGCGAAACGTGCCGCATCTCACAAAAGGGTCCATCGGAAAAGTCAGTCGCGTCCGTTCTCAGTACTGTTTGACAAAAGTCTTCCCCCAAAACTAAAATAACGAGAAGGGTCCTCATTGAGTTTCATCTTTTTCCATCTGTGCCTGAGTAAACTCAAGAGGAAAGGGGCCAGACTTGCCAGCACCTCCAAATCCCCACACTGTTCTATGCCCATATTCTCCCGAGAGGGAGGATAAAATACTTGCTCCAATCGGTCTTAGTTTCAATGCTTTTGTCATCCATCCAGGCCAGGGCTACAGAAATTAGATGAAATATTAAATACATACTAGTCCCCTCGAAATAAGTCAACCCCCATGCCTACTATATTACTGGGAAGTAGGGGGCATAGAGGATGGTAAGGAAAGAATATTTTTACTTGAATCCCTGGATCACAACACAGCCTTTCAACCAGCTGTGCAGACACAGCTTCAGTTTACCTGGGTTTGACTTGTGCAGCCAAAATCACCAAGTCTTCCTACCCCAAGCTACCTCCATCCAATTTTAAATGTCACCTTGGGCTGACCGTGAGCAGAGAGAGATGACTGGATAAGCCATTCAGCATTACGTGGAGAAAGGAAAGAGACATTTTGCCACTACTGATTAAGAAGAAACTGCCAACCTGGGTTAAAAAACACGCAAACAAAAAATCAGATCTCAGAATATATTAGTGTCATTAAGAGATCATGTTCTCAGTCCATGGGAATCCCAGGGCAGGGCACCAACTCAAGAATGCGGCTGCTTCTGGGGTGCTCTAAAAGGGAGCTCATGTTTCTTTTTAAACCTTTTAAGGAGGGCTGACTATGTATGTATCAATCCACTAGACGTCAGAGGACACACACTGGGGTTGAGACAGACAGACACCGCTTAGGAAAGCACAGGAGCACTGAAGAGTGTGTGTCATGGGTACCCACAAGTGCACCAACACAATCCATGTTTT